CGAAGAATGAGAAAAGAATTTAATTTCGTTCATTCGTCAAAGTAAAATTGAAAAAATGGCGCACTATGAGAATCATGAAATAGGTTATATCCAAGAGAAAACAAAGGAGCAAACATCGTATCAAATGCTCGATAACTGATCTTATCAGTATCCGAAACCAAATTGAGACTTAAAGTTAGAAGAGGCTTAAAGTTGGGAGAAGCCTACATTTAGGAGAAGCTAAAATTTAGGAGAAGCTTAAATTTAGGAGAAGCTTAAATTTAGGAGAAGCTTAAAGTTAGGAGAAACGTGCAAAAATCCTAAAAATATTTAAAAACACTTAATTTACACTCAGGAACCCTTACAGTACTCGAAAAAATAAAACAAAAATTAGTGCCACAGGCGGGTTTGAACTCGGGTTCCTCGGACCGAAGGTGAAATTTTGGACACACTTCCCAACATCCCCTATCCATGATGCAAAAATTAGAACATGTTTTCTTTTTTCGCAACCGAGTTATTACACGTCAAACAGTGGTGCGCGCTCTCTGTGGATCCCTACGCACAAGAGGGCCTCAGTACATTTTCTTAAAACGACCGTAACTTGCTTCAAAATGGTCGTAGAGAGTTGGTAAAAAAACGAATCGATGCGTCTTGACAAGCTCTACAACTTGCCATTTAACAATAAAATCTATCTGTTAAACCGCGCCCGCTAGGTCCAACTTTAGAAAACGCCAAAATCGTTTTTTCGCCGTAACTTTTTTTCCACCCGATTGTGACCCCATTTTGACCGGGGGAATCGATTTCTTTTTGAATTCTGCGTCGACCAGTCTAGGAGCGGTTCAATTTGAAGCATTTCGGTGCACGGGGTCCAAAAAAAGTTGGTCCCACTTCGGGCGCCATAACTCGGTTCGGGTGCATTTTCGTGAAAGGGTCCAAGAGGCAAAGTTGTAGAGAAAGACATTTCCAACATTTTTTTAGTTAACACCAAAATTCCATCACGCACCGGCACCGTGCCGCGCGCGTTTGAAAAATAGATTTTGGCGTTGCGCCAAGGGCAAGGTAGCTTTGGTCCCAAAAATTTTGGTACTTGAAGACCTTCTTAAGGCACATACATGGTAAAAATTTCAAAAAAATCGTATAGAACGTTTTCGCAAACGACCTGTTTGAAATTTTAAAATCAAAAAATCGATATTTGAAAATTGATTTTTTTGGAATTTTTTTTTCTCAAAAGATGCCACTTGGGAGTCCTCTTATATGGTCCAAATCTGGTCCGGATCGATTGACGCACTCTAGAGTTATGGCCGATAATAAATTTTGAAATTTCAACTTTGAGCTACTGTAGCTCCGCCCCCTTTTGACTTTTGGCCAAAAAAAAAATATACTTTTTTTTTTTTTCGATGTACAATATTTTAGGCAAGTTTGGGCCAAATCGGAGCTAACGTCCTCCGTGCCTCATCCTAAATGGCGCAGGCAAAGCCTGCGCCTGAGCCTAAGCAAAAAGATTCAAATTGGTGCAACTAAAATTTGAGTTGAACTGAAATCAGTTTTAGTCAAACTAAAATGGGACGAATGCAACTACTACCCTCCCAAAATGCTACCCTGCGCCTCGACTCAGGTATCCTAGCTCTAAGCCTAAGCCTAAGCCTAAGCCTAAGCCTAAGCCAAAGTTCAGTATAACTGGTTTCCCAACAAAAGTTCTTATTAGAAGTTAAGATCGACCTTTCCCCAAAATTACCAGTTTAAATATGAAAAGTTAACTGTAATCAGAAGGGGAGCAACAATTTTAAATTCCCAGTACTAATATCGATTTCTAATACTTCCAACATTTTTGTAGTCAATTTTCCTCAAGGGAATTCTAATTTTTGTTTTGTTTAGTTACAAAATTTTCTTCTCTAACTGATTTTGTTTTCATTCGTATTCTTGTTTATCGTACGTTAGTTTTTAGGTTAGTTCGGTGAACATTCAAAAAATTCAAACATTCGAAACATTCAAAAGATGTTAATTTTTATCTCTAGGGTTGCTGATCTGTTTTTGATCTCAAAATATGACGAGGAAACAGGCACAAATATCGGATTATTTTGTTTGACACACCGACAGATTTAGTTTCCCAAAGGGTAAGATCGGATGAGTTGGTCTCACCAATCAATAACAGAAATTATGTCTTTACCGTGCCTAATTGAACAGCAGTAAAGACTCTGAGAAAGATTTCCTGTAACATCTGTTCATTTCTCTTTTTTGAACATTTCATTTGTGTTTGCTTTCCTGAATTTGTATTTAACCGCCTGTACCCTGCTCATTTACTAGACATAATGTTAGCAATGTTCACCATGCTTCATAATTCGTTCTGATCTTTATAATATAGTAATTACGGCATTGTTCACATTTTTGTACCTTTCAGAGCAATCCGTAGACCAGCACCTCGACAATTGCTCTAATCAGGATTCATCATTAAGGTAAAGCTGTTTCTCAAAGAATACTGAAAAAAAGGAACAAATTTTAGAAGAAATGAATATTGCCATCAGATTCTACGCCATTGATTACGCCTAGAAGGACTTCATTTCGACAAGATGTTCCAACTCAACGTCACTCGACCGTAGACAGCTCCAAAGTTGAGAAGACGACTCGAAGAAAAGGTAGAGACGGCACCTCCCCCCCCCCCCCCCTCTCCTCGCACACTTAAACGCAAAACGACACTGCCTTGGCCGAGGGGGGTAGACAGACGGACACGGATCAACGGGACGAGGCAGGTACGCGGGGTTCGACTCCCACTGGAGTGTAATGATCTCTGTAGGCTTAGGCTTAGGCTTAACCCTTAGGCTTAGGCTTAACCCTTAGGCTTAGGCTTAACCCTTAGGCTTAGGCTTAACCCTTAGGCTTTTAGGCTTAGGCTCAGGCGCAGGCGCAGCCTGCGCTATTTGGCGTGAGGTCTCATTTTTCGCAAATTTTATTTTGGTCATAACTTTTTTCGTAGTTAAGCTTTTGAGAAGAACTTTTTTGCAGTAGGGTCCATTTTTGACGGCCAGTACGCTGACATATTTTTTAATCTACCAAAATTTTTCTGGTAGATCAAACTCAAAAAAAAAAATTTCAAACGGCCATAACTCAAAATCCGACAGAGCATGACCCTATTTTGAATAGTGCAAATGAAAGCTCTTGTTAAGTACTACAATCTGGTAAAATAAAAAAAGTAGGTCAACAGGCTCGTTAAGTAGGTCAAATTGGTTTTTGGCCTATAACTCGAGAACGGCGGCTCCAATCAAAATGGTTTAAACAGTAAAGTTGTAGAGTTTGGTTTTCTACATCTTTTGGTATTATTAATTTTTTGGTCCATTGTGGCTGGGGCGACTTAGGCGCGTTTGAAAAAAAAATTGTTGCCCCATGGTACGCTATTGCAAAAAACGCTGGGGTACCCAGGGATTGAGGCTATATTCATTTGAAAGCCCGTAATTTGTTCACTAAAATATTTTAAAAATATCAAAATTTTAACAACACAATTTTTTTTTTGCAGTTTGAAAATTACGAATTTTTAGTTTTTGGCCAATAACTCGGTAGCGACGGCTTTAATCAAAAAAGTCCTAATATCTGGATAAAATGGATGAATGCGAATGTTTTTTTCTGGATAAAATTTGTTTTCTTGTGAATACAAAAACAAATCTCATCAAAATCGGTTAGCCTTCATTTGAATTCAAGCTTCTCTCAGTTCGATTCGACTACTAACTAAGAGTAGGTTATGGGCCATCAGGTAAAATATGAAGGGATTAAAAGGAAGTGAACTTCAAGCTTTGGTATGAATCAGACAAAATGAAGAGTGAAATGAAAACAAAAAAAAGAGGCGTCGCAGAAACCTCTTCTCAAAATTTTTAGTGCTGTTCAATTGCACAAAGTAATGACATAATTATGGTTATTGATTGGTGTGACGCACTAAACCGATCTCACCCTATGGGAAAGTGGGTCGGTAGGTGTTCATACAAAAAAGGAGACCTTGTCGGATTTATTTAACGTTACCTGCAGGAATCTCTGTCCCTTTTAAAACTATATTCAAAACAGAAGTCATACTTTTAATTGATTTACGATCAGCAGAAAAAGACGGAATAGGACACTAGAATAAGATCATTTTGAGGAGAAAACTTAAAACTCTAACAAAAATTCAAGAACACGAAAGAAAATTGTTTTGAAAAATTTTGGAATGATTCGAAATCGATCTAGCAAACGACGAGCTCTTCAGAATAAGTTTGGTTTAAGAAGGAAAATTGAAAACCGAAAAAAAAGACAACAAGAAAAAATTGATGTTATTTTCAAAGTATATAGTATTCTTACAAATCTGTTGTTATTTCATTCACAATAATAAAAACTATTTCAAAAACACATATCATCATAATGAATAACTGCATAACATTAGAAATTCGTTGCTTCAGTTTCACAAACATATGGCAGTTTTTCATCGCAAGCCTTGCTGATCCACTCTCCCTTGTTGTCATAAAAGATGCAGCTTCCGTTGAACCAGTTTGGGTTATCTGAAAAAGGTTGTCGATTTTCTTTCAATTTTTCAAAGAATAACCTGTTCCAAAATTGCTGTACACACCCAGAGTTTCATTGTTTTTGACCCAGAAGCAATCACCGTTCTGATTTCCTTCACATTGCAAACCAATCCAGATCGGAAGATTTTCAATCTTTGCCAAAAGTCCAAGCTGATAATTTTCCGCTTTGTTTTCTATAGAAACTAAACTAGAACCATATAACGTTTCACAGTTGCGTTCCGCGTCGGAAAAAGTTCTGTTTTCTGTGAATAATTTCCAGCACTTATGATTATGGATTAGTTGAAAGCCATACGCGCAGATGACTGAAATTTTTCGATAAATACAACTCGTTTTACAGATGATGTTTTTTATTGAATCAAGTCGTTAAATGTAGATTTTGGCGAATTCTACACAATGATTTGACATCTGAACTTGTGAAAACAAAAGCTGTATCGAGCAGAGCCATTAAACAAGCAAAGCTTCACAGCAAAGTTCCAAATAGCCTTTTCGCGTTTAATACTGTTTACTCGCGTTACCAAATCAGAAAAAAGATTTATAGGGTTTTTCAGCTCGGAAGAACACCGCTAAAAACCTATAATGTTTTACCTAGTTTGCTTTTTTTTTAAATATTAGGTTGAGTCTTTGAGATGTAATGATCAGCAAAAAATTAAAAAGCTCACCTGTTCGCGTAGTAGTTGTTTCGGTTTGAACTACCAATTTTCGTTTAGGAACTAATAAGACAATTAAAATAATTAAAAGTAATACAATAAAAAGTCCTAATCCACCAAGTACGAACCTCCAGTGTTTTCGCCAGTAAAACGATAATATATTTGAAAATTGCGTTCTGGGGTCCGTTGGTTTATGATTATGAATAATGTAGGCGTAGCCAGGGTCTTCATGAGTTTGGTCCCAATTAGACAAACTTTTTGCAGATAATACAAATTCTAAGCTTTTCGATACGCCCGTTTTCTGCATTTTTGGACACTGTATATATTCATAGTTTTTGATTTCTTGATCTGAATACAATAAAGAAGAAAGTGAACTTTCCAAAAAAGAACTCACTCATTTTAGAGATTTTGGAATATTGACTAGAAACAATATAAGTGAAAAAAGTTCAGGGAAGCTCTTATTTGGAAGAATTTTCTGAGCGGAACTTTCGATAAAACGAAATAAGGCTTAAAACTTCGAAAATTGTTGCAATTCGACAAACATGGTTTTTTGATCGAATTTTAATGCAATAATTTTTAATAGGATCAGAAATTGGTGGTGGTTCGATAAGAATCAGTCTTGTAAAGAAATCAAATTACAGGCGCACTCAATGTTAAACATATAATTTGGGTTTCAAACGTTTTCAAGTTCTGAAATACTGCGGTTACAGAAATAGGAGTTGTTAATCGCTTTGGTCATTTTTAGCAGAGGTAATTTTTAGGAAAACCAGCAATCAATGAACATTGTGGCGACGAATACTGCAATGAGTCTCCACATTGGTTATTATCAACTTGTGATAAAAGGAGAAAATACATTATTGGGAATATCGAAATTTCGAAAAATTTAGCTTCAGTAAAAAAAGAATCAAAAGAGTGGGAGTCGAACCATATAAGAGAAATCAATGGTAAATTTTGAGGAAACTATGGACCGCAATTTCAGCACTTCTTTTCTTAAAAGGTTCCTTAAGCAGATTTTAATCCCCGTTTTTATATGTTGCTCAATTACACCTGTTGTCTATATCTGCAAAAAAAAATTGCTAAATTAGAAAATTTGCAAATGGTCTGTTGGTATTAAGTCAAATCTTGCCAATTTTTGAAATCCAATAATGATAGGAGACTCCCCTGTTTTTGACCATAATCTGCAGACATGAGCCTGTTTCTCCTATCATTTCTTCACACGTTCAGTTGGCTGGAGATCTTTTTTACTGTAGATGAGAAGTGGGTAAGCTATTGTTTCAATATGCGGAAGGGTCAGTTGATTGACAAGGAAGAGCTAGCTCAAGACGTTCCGAAACCTAAATTTCCCGTGAAAAGGGGGATGTTATGTGTTTGATGGCCTGTCAAAGGAATGAAGACTGGGAACTTTAGATGAAGATGTCACTACATATAACTGCCGCTCTGTGTAGTTCCTAATTTGAGAAATTGAATCTGGCAGTCGAATTGAAACATGGAGAAAAGATCAAAGTTTCCATCTAGCACGACAGTGCGAGATCGCCTGTGACTAGAGGGATCAGCCATAACTTCCTGTCGTTCTGCTGAACTACCGTAGAACCTGTATTTAAAAAATTAAGATTTAATTGAGAAAAACAAGCACAAGTACACTATTGGGTGTGTTCAAAATGAAATGAATAGAGAAAATAGAGAAAAAAAACCCTTCTCAGAATCTTTACTGCAGTTCCATTATACAAAAATTTCAAGAATAATACAAAACCCATTCATGTTCTGAAACCTTCTAGGAGAGGAGAAAATCGGTTGCGAAAACTGCCGATTTTGTGATGAAAAACGATTTTTGGCTTTAAAAGTTCCCTAATAAGAATCAGGATAACTAGAATTGAAGGTTAAAAGAGGCCGCAGTCCTTGAGATTATATCTGATGATAATATCGGTCACAGCATCGAACACGAATCTGATATTATTGGTGTCTGTGGCACAAGTAAAGTGACTGTAGACTTCCTGCAAATCAAAACCCACTATTTCTAATACTTTGAAATATGTTGCTGACCTTCTGAGCTGTTGATTTCCTCTTGTTTAATTTCTCGAAAACACTTCGAATGTAGTTCGATGTCTCTGTCACACTAGTGCCTCCTTTGTACTCTGGGAAGCAAATGTTGAGCGGGATGTGACGAATCTTCTCCTCAAATATGTCCATTTTGTTGAGGAAGAGGATCATGGAGGTCTCGGTGAACCAACGGTTGTTCACGATTGAGTCAAAGAGCTGCATGGATTCGTGCATGCGGTTCTAAAAATATGTTTGTAGATTCAAATTTCTTATAAAAGTACCATGATCTTATCTTCAGCCAGCTTCATATCGTACTCGCTCAGTGCTACACAAAAGATAACAGCCGTGACACCTTCGAAGCAGTGGATCCACTTTTTGCGTTCTGAGCGTTGACCTCCGACATCAAACATCCTAACAATAACACAAGATTTTTGAAGAAGCTAATTACAACTGTCAAGTAGGACAATGTATGATATATTATGTGTAACACATGGGAGGATGGCTTCACTACTCACCGGAAATATATATCCTTATACATGAAATCAGTCTCAACAATTCCTGTTGACTTAACTCGTGCACGAAGGATATCATCCTGGGTTGGAAGATAGGTTGTCTCGGAAATGCGATCCAGAGAATTGAAATAGTACTCGGTGGAGTCGTTCAGTTGGAACTCTCGTGACCGTTTAAAACATCTCCTGACACCTGCGTCGCTCCACAAATTTTTCATAAGATCAGAAAGTTCCAGAGAGAAGGCTTCTGATAGATCAGCGTTGTGGATGTGGAGATAGTGAGAGGAAAATTGATGGGCGTCTTCTTTGTGTGCAGAGTTTTCGAAGTCAATGCCAAGTGCTTTCATGACGCGTATTATTACAAGCATTGACTGAAAAATTGGATATGGAAGTCAAAAATAGGGTTCTCAAATCTATGGTGGTTATTATAATAACCGAGCTCAATAAAAGTTCAAGAAACAAAACTAATTTCTTCCAGAACTGCTCTTAACCATTTAGGCCTACATTTCAGCTTTCAGCCAAATTATCTCGATTTCCAGCATGAACACGAAAAAATATCAGAACGCTCGGAAGTATGAACACAAGTTCCTAACCACAGCCCTTGCCTGTAACTAACCTGAATCATGTTGCTATAGATCACTGCTCTATATGCTAACTTTTCTTGTTTTGAAAATCCAATCACATGGAGAATGCGCATCTGACGTACGATAGTTGACTTTCCAGACTCCCCAGCTCCCAACAGAAGTAGCTTTACCTCTGTGCCACATTGATCATGCTCTAGGCGGAGCTAAAATATTTTGTTTTGAAGATTCGAAAAGTGTGCAATTGTCTCACCTGAGCGTCGATCAGTTGTGATCGTTTCTTGGCCTCCGAGCCAGTGCTGTGAACGCAGCCCATGGTTGTGTTGATAGTTAAAAGTTTGACAGTCAAAGAAAAAATAAGAAAATATTACCCTGGAAAAAGTTGATGTTTGGGAGGTAAAAAACAAATGCAACAAAAAATAGAGGAAAAGCGCCGAAAAATGTTAGTATATAATTTTCAAGTCAACTGGACAAGTAATTCTTTCAATAAGAGTGTGGGGTGTTTAAGGATGCTGATTTTTAACAACAGGGCTTCAGTTTTTCAGCCTAACATTCGTTCGTATATGTGTATCCAGGCTTAAGTTGGGAAGATGAAATAGAAGGAGTTGGATACTTATGAATGAATGCGTTATCGGTTATCCCTCAATGAGAACCTTAATGTCTGGCGTCTCCTTAATTAACAATAATTTCTCGCTTTATCATTCACTGTTATGAGTGATGTGTTGGTGTTCGGAATAGAGAGGTGATAGTGGTAGTGTGATAAATCAACATAGAGGAAAGTGGTGGTAGAGGAAAATGATTTGGAAATTCTACACCAAGATGATTAAGGAAGGAAAGAAATATTGGGTGTTACTGTAAAACAATATACAGAAAAATGAAGGAAAAGTGACCTAGAAATACCAAACGGAACCTAGGTCACCTGCGAACAAAAGAGATGGAATTGACTTTAAACGAAACAAATGGATAATCAAGCAAATAATTCTAGAACTGAATTCAAGCGAGTTACTTCTTTCAGTTTGTCTACTGTTTATCACATTGCTGATTACTGTATTTATTTCTTTGCGATTCCGTGAATCGTGAGAAAAAGAAAAAAGCACATGAGAAACTGATTAAAGTACAAGAACAGTGTCTAATAGAGAAAGCTATAATACACAGGCAAATAAAAGGGTGTTAACCAAAATAAAATTAGATGGAGGTCCTCAACTCCCAACCTGGTTTTTGAAAAAAAATAGTTTAAAATAATCTCAAGACAAGGAAGAATGAAGTGTCCTTTGTCTTGTTGATGTGGAAGACAAGAGGAAGAAATGTTTGGAGAATAAAAGAAGAAGAAGAAGAAAAAGGCAAAATGGAAAAAAAGTGAATGCCATAAAAGCCGATACTGGACCTTATGTACTGGGATGCATGGAGATATCTCGTAGCAACTGGCGTCATAAGTGAGTTTTTTCTTCAGATTTTCCGAGAGCTTCCTCTTCTTCTTACTTGGATGACGTGGAATTTCTATATGGGATGAAGTGTGGAGTTAAAAGCTTGGGATACGGTAGAAAAATAGAAAAAAAAGCGGAAGATCATTCCAGGTTCAGGATTTAGTGGTTTCGAAAAGTCAGATTTTCAGAGACTGTTTTTCTAGAGGGGATGATTTCAGCTCTAAAATGAAGCATTCTTGATTCCGGTATAGGTTCCATTAGTTTTTAAAGGTGGTGTACGGTGAAATTTTTTATTGCATCAAAATGTGCAGAAATGCATGTAGATTGACTTAAAAATAAAGAAAAAGTTCAAAAAAATTCCTTCATCGAGAAAAACGCATCGAAAAATACGCTGAAAGCCCTTAGGGACGAGGTTTTTTCTAGGCCGCCCGGTGAGTAAAAGCGCGCGAATTCAAACTTTTAAAATTTTTTCGCTCATTTTCACTTTTTTTTCGGTTTTTTCAAGATTTTTCAAGGTTTTTGTCAATTTTTCTTCCAGATACATCGGAAAATTTGAAAAAAACAGTGAAAACGAGCGAAAAAAATTTAAAAGTTTGAATTCACGCGCTTTTACTCACCGGGCGGCCTAGAAAAAACCTCGTCCCTAAGGGCTTTCAGCGTATTTTTCGATGCGTTTTTCTCGATGAAGGAATTTTTTTTGAATGTTTTCTTTATTTTTATGTCAATCTACATGCATTTCTGCACATTTTGATGCAATAAAAAATTTCACCGTACACCACCTTTAAATTGATGTTCGGTTTCAGAATGATTTTAATCACATAGTATGCGAGTTACTTTCGAATGTGTTCTAATTCGGCAAACAATTTAGTTACTGAATAATTTCGAACATTTCTGAATTCAACTGTCCCTTCTTCTTTCCAGTGAAAGGCAGGACGACGAAATCAAGGTCAGAGATATGAAGAACTCCATCAAGAAGGCGGGTTTATGAAAAAGGAAGAACAACTGATTCGAATAATTATTTTTCTTTTCAGAAAGCCGTACATCTTTCCCTAACGAATTTTCACAAATAATTGAACCATTAATTACAAAACAAAAGTTCGAGTTTTATTTTTATGAGATCTGAAATGTTCAGAGAAACATTTTTTAGCGTTCTAGTCTATGTTTGAGATTCACTGGTACTGCGATTACCCAAATTTCTAAAAAAGATCCCTCATTAAAACATTCGAAGTAATGCATTTATTGAAAAAGGAGGGAGCGAACGTTTGAAATCCGTTTTGGCGCGAAAGTATGAGAGACGCGTCGCGGTTGTGTCTCGCGGCGACACCTGAAAGAAGATTCACATTTAACGTAGGACATAACCCATTTGGAACTGAGAGACTCAAACCTAAAGAGGGGTCGTATGGCCCATAAAAAGACTTTGGAGATATCCTTGAAGTATAAATAGCAATATATTTAATGAACATTGAAATCAGAAAATATAACGGAAATTTAAATCTCTATTTTTCTCAATTTTGAGGTGCTTTTTTAATCATAAAAATTAGAACTTCTAAACTCATCAGCAAGTTTATTTTGCGGTATACAGGTTAGTTGCATAAGGAATTTCCAGTTTCTGTTCTAAATGGCTGGACAAGAAAAACAAAGATTTTCCAGGTCCTCCGATTTTTCTAGTGCTCCGTTATCCCGGTGTGAAAAATGAATGATTAAATTTAGTTTTAAATTTGGGTGAACATGTTTCTTTCCTTCACGAAATACTTTCTTGTATTGAGCTTCACTTGCTGTCTAGTTGTTTTACTGCCCTCTATTCAAATCGTAGGTGTTGAACAAGTAATATCCGTAATGAAGACACTAAAACAATTGTAACATGTTTCATCTCCGAGTTTGTGGTGGATGGCTCTGTAGAATCTGTAAGTGTCTGTGAACCAGAGTGTAGCTCGAGCTTATAACAGAAACTAGACGCGTTCAAATTTATTTTAGGAAGTTTTTTTTAATTAGGAACAGAAACAAGAAACAACGAGAAAACAACAACAAGAAATAATAAGAAAACATCAACCAGATTTAGCGCTTTTTGTACAGACAAGGTTTCAATTTGAGTCCGTACGGTCGCTTCTGCTCGACTTTGTCAATTTTTCGGAAATCGAACATCATGAAATAATCGGTGAGTTGACGGCGATTTGTCGTTTCGAATCCCATTTTGTTGATTGCTTCACAAAACTGTTTGATAGAGACGAAGCGAGACGTGACTTCGCCAATTTTCAGCACTCCGCTGAAAAAAGAAATGGATTGAGATAAAAGAGGAATCTTTTTGGTTTTAAAATATATAACCGTTCGCATGTTGGCTTTTTAGCTACTTCAGATTACAAATGTTCTGTTACTCACCCAGTTCTCAGCACTCTCCTTGCTTCTTTGATGAAATCGTAAAGATTTGTTCCCATTAATGATAAACAAAAGATCACAACATCAGCGGATCCATCCTCTGCTGGCAATTTCGACATGTCACACGACTCGACCCTATCATTCACAGCCACCAAATCGAATGAGCGAATCGTGTGTTTCTCTCCGACGGCTTCTGCTATTTTCGCCTCACCACATCCCAAATCGAAGACTGCTTGCTTGTCGGGCTTGGCTTGAAGCCAACGAATGATCTCGCGAAGTGGATGGTTAGGCCATTTTTTGACCTGGAAACGGAGAAATAACATTGGTTAGGAAGAGCAGGTGTTGGAATACGTCAGATTGGAAATCGAAGCAATAGGATGCTAATATTGCCCTGTTTAAACTAAATATTTGGAATGCAACAAGAACTAGAAAAGAGACAAGCACATGTTCTAACCTGATCAGCGAATCCCCTGTGATAGAGATCGAAAGCCGTACGATCCTCCTTGAAGAAATCAAAAGCTTCAGAACCAGTACACGTGTAAAGTTTTTCGTTGAGCATACGGAATCTTCCAGCATCTAATCTCTTCTTAGCCTCGGCGATTGGATTCTCTTTCACGGTATCTCCTTCCTCATTCTTCTTCTCCACCTCAGCGGCTTCTGGCTTGTACTTCTTCTTTTTTGGTCCTCGCTTCTTTTTCTTTTTTGTCGCCTCCTCTGCGGTGGCCACTGGTTCCAGAATTGTCGATTCTTCAGAATTCTCAACTCTTCTCTCGGCTGCTGCCTTCTTCGCTGCTAGCTTCCGAACCTTGTTCCTCCAGGGTCTCTTCTTTTTCTTGGTGCCCTCTCCATCTTCTGACGACGTATTCAACCACTTTTCCACTTTTTTCTTTTTCTCGGCTGGAGCGCCTTCAGTGGTGCTTACTTCATTAATTCTTTTCTTGCCCATTCTTTACAAACGTTCGGAAGTTACTTGAGGATATCATAGTTAGCAGAAGAATTCGAGAGAATGCTAAAATATGCAGGTCTTTGGATTCAATTAGGGGATTATCACTTGAAGCATTTTATTCGGAAGATTTTGGTAACCTGGGAGGGTTGATTGGGGATGAAGGGTATACAAGAGGTTAAAAGTAAAATAAAAAGTAAAAGGGTTTCGGGTGAAATGACAAAAGAGGGATAGAAACAAAACAGACAATAACGAAAAAGAAAACAATAACAATTGAAATCCAAAAAAGTGAACAGAATAAAAAACGAAGAATAATTGATCCCAATTAACGCCAATCGGTTTTTCCGTTTCCTCGCTTTCCACAGAACAAATGCTTTGGTTTGAGGTCGTAAACATGTCGATCGGCTTCTCCCTTCTTGGCTTCTCGGCGAAGTCCACGCATGGCTTTTGTACGGAGCTTGTTGACATGAGCACGTTTCTCCTCATCTGGGAAGGCGATCTCGTCACGTGGGGCTGGACGGACGGCGCTGAGACTGCGAGAGCGTCCGACTTTCATCTAAAAAAAGGTTATAAATACACTTAATGATATCTACAAAGGTACCTTCTTTCCGAGTTGTGGCTTAGCACATTGTCCTTGCAAGTTCTTCATCTTTTTGGTGTCAATATCGACTCCCAAATCGCCCAATTCTTGTTCCAATCGTGACATAGATCTTTCCCTTTTTCTGGTGTGCACACGGGATCCCACTCGTCCGGCGATTCTTTTGTTTACAGCGTGTTCCAATGTGAGCAGCTTCTCCTTCTCTCTGATCTGTAGTGCCAGTGACATCTTCTCTTTAGTTTCTTCATCATCACTATCCAAATCTGATTCGTATTCTCCGGCTTGTTCAAGAAGCTCCTCCTCTTTAAGAAGACTCTCGAGTTTTGATTGGATCTCTGGATCGACGAAGTCGGCAAGATTGTGTCCCTCCCAAATTTCTGGAACGATATCATACTTCTCATCTGGATTCTTAAGCAAATATTGCTTCTTGAGATCGAGAATGTAATCATCTTCCATAGCCAATTCAATTTCACGTTCCAGTCGGCGAGTGTTCTCATCTCTGAACTCCCCGATGCTTCCTGCTTTAGTAGTAGTGACTTCATCAACTTCCATAGAGTTTTCAGCAGCAAGTTTCTTAGCGGCACGCTTAGCTGCAAGGCCTGGTGGTACGAATGCAGCACGAACCTTCTCGTCGCGTGGAGCTGGATAGGCAACGAATACGCGATTCAACACTGAATCTTCGACATTAGAGATCTTCTTGGCTTGAATCTTAGCCTCGACACGCTGAGCGAGCAGCTCGTCACAAGCCCGATCTCTCAATGACATGATTCCTTCCTGAGTCAAAGTAGAAGTCTCGACAATTGGAATTCCCTCCTTCTCGAGTTGATCCAGCAAGGCGGCCTTATCAGCTGGCAAATCAGCACGATGTCTGATATCAACCTTATTCAAACCAATGAGAACTGGCTTGTTGGCGAAGAGTGGACGGATAGATTCGAAGAGATGAAGCTGTTCTTCAATAGTGCGATCGCATTGCTCAGATACGTCCATCATGAAGAGAACGGAAGCTTTTAAGTGAGCAAGAGCAGTCACGGCTTGCATTTCAATTGTGTTACGATCCTCGAGTGGTTGATCCAAGATTCCAGGAGTATCAATAACCTAAAATATGTAATTATTATTCTGTTAGATGATGGTCAAATTTTTACCTGCCATCTAAGGAAACGATAGTCCAGATGTCCAACATATAGAGCTTTAGTGGTGAAAGCGTATGGCTGAACCTCAACATCAGCACGAGTCACGTTGTTGATGAAAGAAGACTTTCCGACATTTGGGAATCCACAAAGAATCAGAGTACGGGTGGCTGGATCGATACTTGGAAGACGAGACAAGTGCTGACGTACTTGTTCGAGATACTCAAAACTGGATTTTTGTCTCTTCAACAGCTTGACCATACGTCCCAAAGCGGCTCTTTTGAGCATTTTGCAACGATAGAGAGAGTCGGCATACTTCATAAGACGAACGTATTCACGAGCGATTCCATCGATGAGATGTCGAGCGGTGTTCATTTGACCGAGAGCAATTTTGTAATGATCACGATCGTAGAGAATGTTCATAAGATCGGAATAGAATGGGTGAATCTCTTCCATCTTTGGGAACTCGTTGATGATTTGAGTGAGCTTATCGTGAAGAGTTTGTTGGAGAAACTTGATTTTTCTGGCATAGAAAGCGCGGATTCTTCCGATCGAATACTGACGATGCACGACAGTTGGAGTTTTTCTCTGTGTTTTCGACAAAACGACATCTTTCAGTTCCTGTTAGAAAAAAGAAAACATTTTAGAGCAATTGAGATTCAGCATACCGATGCGTTAGGAACGACTGTAATTCGTTTAAAATTGTACATAGACGTCATATTGAACGATGACGACTTGTGTGTAACCCTTGTTCGACTTCTGAAAATTTTCGAATATAATTGAGAAGATCGATTTGAAAAGAAGAAAATGCAAAGCATCGAATAAAAAAGAGAAACATTGAAATCCAAAAAACAAATTAATATATTAAGCAGAATGGGCCGATTTATTTCAAAAGGCTCATCGACAAGGGCTAAAACTTCAAAAATCGATTTTTTGGTTTCGATCTCTATCTAACAAACTTAACTTTGTTAAACTGGAGTAAGTATAATGAATAAGTTTAAAATTCGACTCGGATATTCGGCCTCAGAAATATAGAAATTTTGGAGTTGGCCTAAACTCTGGATAAACCCATAATTTCACATGTAAATTTAGAAGAATTCACTCTTTTTAGTTAAAAACAAGTGTAATTCATTAGTTTTTGTCTCATTCAAATAGAAAATCCGTAAAAGTCAGCTGATAACTTTCGAAATGCACCGAAAAATAAGTGAGAAAAAAGTCGCCTGACAACGCGGTCCGCAAAGATGCGTCTCTGTGTACCTAGCTGTGTTTACACCATTTGAGCACCGTACCCTTGAGAAAAAGTCTGGCAGAGTCTTCTGAACAGTTACTACATCTGATTTCTGGAAAAAAATACACAAAAATGAAAATTCCTCCAAATATCAAAGCACACATTTACGCCACTGGTTTGTTTGTGCTTGTTTCCGGTGCTGCTTACACCGCCTATAATGTTGCAATGGAGTTCAGAGTAAATCTTTATTTTTTAGAATTTTTTGAACTAGAAAATTTCAGAAGTGGTCAATGTCAGCTCCTCGTCTACAGCATCAGGAAATGGAAGACTATTTACGATATAAAGATGAGCAAGCGCGGAGGAAAATGGCGCAGCAGTGATTATTCGGGTTGTGTACATTTGATAAAATTTTAGTTTATATACATTTTTTAATCGTGGACAAATCGGAATATCATGTGATCAAGAAAGAATAAAGACCACATTTGATACACTTATAATTTATTTTCAATATAATCCATTCGATCACAAGAGCAAAAGCTAAAATAGAAGAATGGAGTTGTCAACCAAAGGAATCTCGTTGAAAGTTCCAAATGAAACAAAAGACGTCGTCATACGAGAAGTTCTGCCAGGAACGACCGTCGGAGGAGGGGGTGGATCGAAAGAGAGTGCGAATCCCCCGATGACATCACCAGTTCCTTCATCACCAGCCACAGCACCTGAAGAAAAACTAAAAGAACCGCTTATCGAAATTCCACCTCCAATTCCAACGAGTCCACTACAAATGGAAATCAAAACCTGCAAATTCTACCACGGAATCATTCCACGATGCAGAGATGTCTCTTCGTTACGTCGGTGATTACCTGCTCCGAAGAGCAGAGCCTACAGAAGGAATTGGCGGGCAGTTTCTAGTGATTTCTGTGAAACGAGAGGGAGGATTTGTACATGTACCGTTAAGTCAGGATAGAGAAGGACCTTTAAAGCAGTTCTACTTTATGCCGACAGTTAAAGATACTAGTGTTCTGAGTGTTATTGACGGACATTTGTAAGAAAAACTTATACTTGAACGCTCAGTCGGAAATCGTATTTCAGAGCCAGGGGTCTTCCAATTTGCATCACCTGGAATGCATATCTCCGGAAACCAGTCAACCGATCCACATGGCTCATCGCACATGAAGATGTTATTCTGTACAAGAAAATTGGGTCAGGCGCATTTGGGGAGGTTTTTCTCGCGAGGATGGTCGACCCGACAAGCGAGTATGTACTGGATTGTGCTGTAAAAAAACTAAAAATGGAAGCAACAATGGATGCGAAGTTACGATTCATGAAGGAGGCGCGGATGATGAGGAAGTGCTACAAACACAAACATGTCGTTATGATTTTTGGAATCGCAACGTTGAATAGTCCGCTGTTGATTTTGATGGAATTGTGTCCAAGTAAGAGTTGTCGTAGTTTTTTTTCACTAAATCAGATTTGAAATCTAGATGGCTCTCTGGTATCCCATCTTCGCAAGAACAAAGGGAAAGTGACGGTTCTTGATAAGCTCCGTTTTTCAGCGGAGGCTTCTAGTGGACTGGCTCATCTGGAAAAAATGAACTGCATTCACCGTGACGTTGCAGCTAGAAATTGTCTGTTGTCTTCAAAGAATGTGAGCTATTAGATTACTCGGTTCTCCTAACTTTTTGCTTTTCAGGAAATCAAAATTTCAGATTTCGGTCTAGCAGACAACAAAGGCATGGCAATTGACTTCTCACTGGACAAGCTCCCGATCAAATGGTTAGCACCAGAAACTATGCAGGACAAGGTGTATTCTTTGAAATCTGACATTTGGGCATTCGGAGTCATGATTTGGGAAATATTTGCGGATGGAGATGAGCCATATCCTGGGTTAAACAATGTCCAAGCTCGTGCTAAAATCGTTGTCCATGACTATCGGATGAAGTTTCCCGATGAGACCCCTGTTGATGTGGTTCAAGTGATTGCCACATGTTGGAACAAAAATCCGGATCACCGATCCATGATGTCTGCTCATTCTATTGCTCTACAACAGATTTATGACTCGAAGATTCCTCTTCTTTTCAACCAATCTCCAAATATGGTCACGCCGCTAATTACCAATCCTGTCGTTCCACTTCCACCAGAGAATGTTCCGTTCTCCCCGCCATCAGATAACTGTGACAAATCATCATATCATAATAGAGATTGATTTCTCGATGTGAATAAATGTTTTTTTAAAATAAAGTTTGCTTTGAATTCACTGAAAAATGCTCTGGCCAGCCGGAATACTCCGAAATTTTATATTTTACTGATAATATACAAGATTGTTTCTGTAGTCTCTCCGATCGTTTATAAAAATTAGTTTCATTTCAAAAATATTTGACAAGTTTTTCCGTCTATTGTTTCTTTTGTTTTTTTTTATATTGGGCGTATTTTTTTGTTAAAAATTTATTCTCCCAGAAGCCGAGTATTTCAAACATTTTTAAAAAATCCCCTGGCCGCGGCCGGAAAAGACAAATTTGTCTGCGCTCCATTGCGAGTGAACTCCTCTCGGACAAACTTAAATACACGTCTGCTCACTTTTCCTTTTCAAGCAGGGCTTTCAGCGAAAAAATCTAATTTTTTTCAGATGAGCTCTCAAATTTGCGTGCGAAGCTTGTTGACTTGCGGCTCCAGAGTTTTCATAGCAGGTTTGACATAGTAGATTTCGTAATTATACTTAAAAATATTTTTTCAGAACGGAACAACGCTTGGAGAGCCAGTTTGGGGAAAGTTAGCCGGAAAGACTATCTTCACAAATATCAAGTCAAATTCATTCGGCCTGATGGATCGACGATTATGGTGCCGGCTAGCGAACCGAGACAGGTTGATTTAAAATAAAAGATTTTTGTGAACACGTATTGAACCTCCAGACTTTCCAATCAGCTGTCGACTTGAAGCAACTGAGCGAAGAAGAGCGACGACAGCGGCTGGCAGCACGCAAACCGAAAGCCAAGATTACCAAAACAGAAGTTATCGATGACACTTTTGATGAGAGCGAATATATGAAGTTTTGGTCAGCGCCGGGGAGTCAAGAGAGCCAAGATAACGATCAGCCAGAGAAGAAAACACAAAAGAAAGCTAAAAATTGATGTTTCATAGTCTGTCTTTTTTGCTTAGTTTTTCTTCCTTTTTATAATTTTTCTTGTTTCGTTATTAGTATAAAGTAGTTCGCTCTCGTAAAATAATTGATTTTTAACTGTGTTTCGTGACCCACATCTATATCTTTTTTTGGAAAAACTTTTCCGTTATGAAAAACGTCTTATTTTTTCAGAAGAAAATGGATACACCGAAGTACTCCATCATCCTACCAACTTACAATGAGAAGGAGAATCTGCCGATTTGCATTTGGCTCATTGAAAAATATTTGAAAGGGATTTCCTATGAAGTTGGTCCTTATAGTCTTCAGTTTCACCTTAATTTTTCCATTTTGTAGATTATTATTGTCGACGACGCCTCTCCAGATGGTACTCAAGATGTGGCAAAACTTCTTGAAAAAGAATACGGAGAAAATAAGATTCTGATAAAGCCACGTGCCGGAAAGTTAGGACTTGGTACCGCCTATTCGCATGGGCTGTCGTTCGCAAGAGGAGAATTTATCATTCTGATGGACGCGGATTTGTCACATCATCCCAAATTCATTCCAGAGATGATTGCGTTGCAGCAAAAGTACAAAGTAAGCGAGACCCAGTAGTTTGATCAATTTTGCTTGTTTCAGCTCGACATTGTTACTGGAACTCGTTATAAGAACGGAGGAGGTGTGAGTGGATGGGATTTAAAGAGGAAAACGATCAGCAAAGGAGCCAATTTCCTTGCGCAGTTCCTTCTGAATCCGGGAGTCTCTGATTTGACCGGATCTTTCCGTCTCTATAAAAAAGAAGTCTTGGCAACGCTGATTGCGGAAAGTGTCAGCAAAGGATACGTTTTCCAAATGGAGATGATGTTCAGAGCCAAGAAGTCTGGATATCGGATTGGGGAGGTTCCCATCTCGTTTGTGGATCGATTCTTCGGAGAATCAAAACTGGGTTCTCAAGAGATCGTCGACTACGCTAAGGGACTTCTCTACCTTTTTGCCATCGTTTGGTAATTGCAATATGGATACTTGGAAGTTTCAATTCTGTAATAATTCTATTTATTATTAATTTAATTTCTGGGATTCTCGATTGCTTTACTGTAATGCTATTTAATGGGACGTTCTTTTTCAAATAAATCCATTAACTTGGCCTGTCCAAATGATATCACTTCTACAAATCTACTAACCCTCATTTTCATTTTTATCAATTTTTATCGTTTTTCACTAGGGATCCAAGTTTCAATCGGAAATTCTTCGTAAGTTTGTTTGACTTCTCCATCTGACACTGGAAAATGTCTAAATTTCTCTAGAATGATGAACTTCTTGAGTACTTTCCGATTAATGATTGGCATTTCTGGGCCGATCGTTCTTATTGTTTTGGTCCTGTTCATGTGTTCATCTAAGAACAAAGCCAGGAAAGTTGGAAAGAAAAACCCGGAAGTTAAAAGTCGAAGCCAGGAGGGAAGAAAGAAGAAAGCCCTATCAGCGCCAAATGTAAATATTTTGAATGTTCAGTGAGCGTTGACTCGGAAATAAAAAAAACCTTCTGAACATGCAATTCTACAAATAAAAAACAAGAACAACTTTCAGTCCGACCCAGCAGTCATTCCAAAACACGAAGATGTGCCTGTGGATCCTCCGAAAGAAGTATCCACCCCTGCTGGACCTCCCATAGTTAAGTCAAATCGGAAGAAGAATAAGAAGACCGAGACGGTATCAGAAGCTGTGTTGGATCCCACTCAAGAAGTACTGTAGTTTTTACTCGATTTTTTCGTTTCCTGATTGAGATATCAAAATGTTTAGTGAACTTGTGAAATTCGTAATTTTAACCACATTTTCCTTTTTTTTATTTGTTAAAAAATATCATCTGTAAAACAAGCTAATCATCAATTTCCAGAGCCAGCAAGGTCCCGGCGCCTCAGTTACCATCACGGTGTGCCCCACCCAAGAAGACGATCCGTCGATCAGCGCAGCTAAAGCAGCTAAATGTAATTTCAATAAACTGCAATTTAATAGTTTTTTGTTTCAGCAAAAATCAAGGAGGAGTACTTTGACGACCAGAACGACGATGACACACTGGCTTGTGTAAAAAGTATTGAGAACTGAAATAGAGATTTTTCGAAAATTTTAAACTTGCGAGCTGAATCTTGTTTTTTTTTCCAAACTATAAATCTTTTTTCTACACTATGTGCAACGCCCTAATAGTAAGAGCACTATCCATACTTAAGTGCTCTTTTCCCAGGTGGCATCTTGCCTATAGGAAGAGATAAATGATGTAGGCGGAAGAAAAAAGTGTCTATAGTAAACAAAATATTTGAATCTAGTAAATATTCGGGTCAAATCAAGCGTACACCCTTCTTTTTCGTAATGAATCAGAAGAAGAAGAAGAAGGACCCTGTGATATGAATTTTTAGTATCAACTGACACTAATGTCTCCGCCTCCAAAAACTTACCTTTAAAAATTTCGCCGGCGATGAAGGTAGCCGTTGTAGGAAGAGGAAGTGGGAGGAGTGGTGACTGTATTACGATGTTCAATTCTTCAATGACTACTTCCGTATACGAGCATTGGCAAGCGCATTATGGTAAGTGCCATTTTGCTGATGATTGAATTTGGAAGCTCTGAAAAAAACCTTCGTTGGTTTCATTTTTTGTTTCTGATTGAGTTAGGAAAACGTTGGTAACTAATTGAAAGTTTGAATTTTAATCGTACACAGTTCGTTAACTTATGGCTTTACAGTATCTTTATCATGCAATTAGATAACAAGAAATGAGTTACTGCATTCTCGAAGACAAACGTTCGTTGAACACTAAATACTTTATAACATACTTGTCGACGTGCCGATTTCGAGCCGGCACGAGGTGGCTGGTAACTCGCTTCAGTATTGAAATTAGCAAAATAGCATACCAGATGATGGAGCTTGGGGAGCTCTACAACCTCCTACAATTACAATGTCACCTCATCTCGGTTACCAAACATAAACCATTTTTCAACTAAAATAATGTTTGAAATTTTAATCACACAAATTTTAAAGCATTTCAATTCCTCTCATTTTACTAGAGCAATTTGTTTATCGAATTTAATGTTCCTGCATCTTACAGGCGCTTTACTATCAGTGATACTTTTTGAAGAATTCTGATCTTTTATAGAAGACCGTGACTGTTTGATGAAATGCTGTCGAATTCCAAAAATTGATCCATACTTCCCAAAAATCACATTCAACGCAACTCTGGTTCCAAAAATCGAGATTCTTGATGCCGATTGGGCGAAATCCTTTAAAGGGAACGAAGGTTTGTTTCCCTTAAAAAAAGAAGAAGCAAAAGTCATTGTTCCAGAAAATTGTCAAAACTTTTTTCGCCATTGCCATGAACCAAAAAAAAATAAAAGAGAGGCGACAAAAAATTTGTTAATTAGTTGGTTGTGTTGGTGGGTGTGTGAAATTGTGGAAGAGAAAAAAAAAGAGGATAATGGGTGTCGAAAATTGAAATTTTTGGGATGAAGCAACTTTGTTGAAAGCTTCCAAGCCACATGTAATATTCTGGAATCAGAAAGATTTAGTTGAATAGTCACGTTTAGGTGTCTGAAAAGAGTAGCAAAACGAGTCGGTAAACTATGGACATCTGTTTAAAAATTTCAAAAATTTCGAAAACCAAAAAGAGCTGAAATCAGTTGAAACTTCAAAACAATTCTTGAATCTTCGAAATTAGAGAAGATCAGTTAGAGTTTTTTCAAACTTTTGAAAACCTTAAATTCTGGAAACCATGAAACTAAAAATTCAACAAATGGAAAATAATATGCTCACCGAAATCGGTGAACGAATTAATTTTTTTTCAAGCCTCATTAATTGATCAAAACTATATCTTTTCCCAAACTTTGTTTTCTATCCTCGTCTTCCAATATCTCTCTTTTCCTCCATCCAATCATCCCAAACATGCGGACTAGCTCCGCCCCCCCCCCCGTGTGGTCTCCTCCTCTTCCTCTTCCTTCACCGCCTAAAATTGATGGTATCCAGTGAAAAAAGTGGGCGTGGCTATATTCCATCAATTCCCTCAATTTGCCTGTATATTGTGGTGTGCATCCAAGGGCAGCCAAACGGTTGATTGCTTGTGAACCCTTTCTCTATCTCTCTGAAAAACATGGAACCTCTCGCTCCAATATGGAGAACTTATCCCTACTCTTCATATCCAACTCACCCAAATTTTCAATTCGGTAAGTTCTGAATCATTTGATTATATCTGAAACATTGTTATCTTACTTTTCTGTTTTTCTCAATCTAATGACTTATCACTAACTTGTTTAATTTGTTCAACTGGAAACAATATTGTACCTTCAAAAGTATCCATAATCACATATTTTTAGCTGACGTACATATTATTCGAGAAATTTTTGAGAGGTTCATTGAAGTGGAAGGCAATGCCATACTTTGATTATGTGATTAATATGTGTCCAAAAGTACAAAGATTTTTGAGATACACTGCCTATGATGTTGCACTAAAGTAAGACTGTTTAGTTTGGAATCAGATCAGGGATTAAAAACTAAAATCTTCCTAAACCTGATGAAAAACTAGATTTGTAGCAGCTAATAAGCAAGAAAAAGTGAATAAGTCTGTCTTAATGTATATGCCACAGTAAAATTAGTTTCATTTCTTTCATAGAAACTTTTTGGTTCAATCCCACTTAAATGAACAAACGGCAGGCATCAATTTTTAAACTGATTTCTCAATTTTTGGGTTTTAGAAATTCTCCGAAATTATCCGGGTTTATCCGAAACAAAATATCGGAGAATCCTTAGACTTTATTGCATAGGTATATCTGTACAAATGAGTTATTGAGTTAACTAAGCTCAAATGGAAAACTTTTGGAAAAATTCCAATCAGAGAGCTTTGGAAACGATCCAGCGTTATTGAAAGCTATTGTAAGCTCTCATTCTCTTCCACACCGGAAAACCACTACACGAACGTAGATTACCAACCTAATCAACATTTTTCAGACCCACTAATTTCAGATGGATCTCACACGGGTGTCAATCAACTCGGAGGTGTATTCGTCAACGGGCGGCCACTTCCAGACTCGATTCGTGCTCAAATCGTGGAAATGTCTCAACGTGGCACTCGTCCATGTGATATTTCCAGACAGTTAAAGTAGGATGAACAACTGGAGAGAAACAATCAAATACCACGGTTTTCAGGGTTTCCCATGGATGTGTTTCAAAGATTCTGGGTCGTTTCTACTCAACAGGATCTGTCCGGCCAGGTAAGGAAGAAAGAGTATACTGTAGAAGTTGTGTTGAATCATCATTCTAAATACCCGTCACATTTTCTACCGTCGCCTCAATTGAGGTTTTGTACAGTAACCCATTGTGTGTATTCTATTGACTTTCATCGGATTAGACGAATTGAAAAACGACTTTTCGAGAAAACATGTAAAACTCTATGGTGTTTTGGGTTCTACTGTTGGATTAAAGGGGCTTTTTAAGGTTTAATACATTTTTGAAACTTCAGGAGTGATTGGAGGATCGAAACCAAAAGTTGCTACACCGCGTGTTGTTGAATGCATCGCTGGATACAAGAGAGCAAATCCCACGATGTTTGCTTGGGAGATCAGACAGAAGTTGATGGAGGTATGAAATAAGTGTTAAGTACGGGGATACCTTTCATAGAAGGGCATATGAATGGGATGATAACCAACTTTTGTTTCTGGAGTAATAGAAAAACGCTGTTAACTCATAAAATTCCACAGATGTTATGTTCAATATTTTTAATATCTTTCACAAAAACTGAGATAGATTGAGACGAAGCTAGAGGTTCTTCTTTGGCAGTTCCTATGGAACTTTTAAAAACCTAATACCAACACATTGCTTCAGTTTTTGATTTTTTAGGATCAAATCTGCGGAGAGGACAATGCTCCATCAGTTTCTTCAATTAATCGAATTGTTAGGAACAAGGTAAATTTTTAAAATCAAAAAATTATGGCTGGCTGTATTTCTATCCCTTTCTTTTCGTTTCCAGGACTTCCAAAACTTTGTCTCTCAAAACTCTAGACCAACATCCTCTTCTTCCTCATCCGGATCCTCCCAACAATCATCACAGTCCTCATCAAGGCAATTACCTCCGCCACCACCGCAATCACAGCAGTCTCAACAGTTGGCTGCTACAGTACCCTCGCTGGCGGCTCCTCCCACTTTTGCAATGCCTGGAAGTAAGTTTTGGGAAGAAGGGGAGGTTATTTTGTAAAATAGGCTTTTAGAATGGGATAGAAAAAAACAAAAAATAAAATAATACAGCTGAAGTACAATTTGATTTGAACTAGAAAAATGACTAGAAATTTGAGAGAACCATCCCATTAATCTGAATGTTCTATCATCTCGATTTAGTTGAAGCGTAAATAACTTATCTCATTTTCCAAACAACACGGTGGTGTAGTAACAAAAATTGCAATATGGAAATTCACATGTTCCATTTTTCGATGATTTTTGAATGAATTATCTAGCTTTGTCGAAAAACTGACCTTAAAAACCAAGATGCCGTTTACCCTGTAAAAGAAGTACACCCGTTTTGCCGTTTGTATTTCTGATATCCTTGAAAAGAAATGAGCCCAAATATACAATCACAATTCCAGGGAAGCTTTGAAAAGTATAAACTTCGATTAGTGGATTTAAGGGAGTTGGAGGCGAAAGACCAGAAATGTTTTTGCCTATTTGCTTTGATTTCGCATGAATATGAAGAAAAAGCTAACAACAAAAAGTTTGAAAAGTTTCATCAAAATCAATTTGGTTGAAATAGTTTGTATCTCTTCTACACAACTATCTTATCTCCATCATTTTTCCTCTTTTTTTTCAGCCTATTCCATAAACGGCCTTCTTGGAAGTCTCCCACATTCAAGTATTCTCGATGACAAGTCTTTTCATCTCTCTCATGCCGACATGTCTCTTGTCTATCCGACTTCTGGAACTATCGGTCCCAGAGTTCTGGAGCACGATTGGCCGATGCGTGCTCCTGTTTGCACGATTCTTCCGAACTACTGCGGCGGACATTTGTAAAACTTGAGATCTCAATGGGACACTTTCTTAATCAAGAGTTCGTTCTACAGTAATTCCTCTTTCTATTTATTTCTCGCCCTTTCTCTTTTTCTGTGATTTTAGAAAGAACGATAATGTTTTTCCTCTCTCCATTTCCTATTTCTCCTAGTTTCATTTCCTATTTTTCCTCTCATCTCAAAACTTCCATGATGCGATAATTTATATATTTTGTCTCTAAATTTTTTCAAAAGGATGACTTTAAATTGTATATATTTTCAAATAAAATTGATTGACACCTATCCCCCTTCAATTTTCTTAAAAGCTTTTGGCTCCTGCTCATAAAAGATAGATTTATTGGGCGACAACAAGAGAATAATAAAAAAGGTGAACAAGGGAGATTCTCATAACAAATGAATAAGGAAAACAAGAAAACGAAACTGGGGAAACAAATGAAAACGTCTAAAGACCCAAACCTTCAGAAGTGGAAAGGTCAAAGTCTACTGATAATCCTGGGATGGCTGGTTTGATCAACTGGAGTTCACACGTGGTCTTTGCTGATTCTTCTCGTTTACACTGATCTTGACAGTGACAGGCTCCAATTCTCGGATCACCGCCTCTCCGTTGACTTTTACAGCCATTTCCTCAACATCAATAGTGGTTCCAGAACCCGGTTGTAGCACAATGATCGATTCGAGACCATATTTTGGAACGAAGACCTGGAATTTGCAATTTTCGTGTTGATCCTGAAGGAGATTGGGTTTCTGGTTTTTGTGGATTTAGAAGATAAATGTATGAAGGTTATGTTTGGGTACTTACTAGGCGCCATACGTGACTAATGATGTGGAATGAGGAAAGTGACGAAAGGAGAAGGAATCCTTTTCTTAGGCCCGCAGACACAGGGACATGTATAGAGAATCATTCAGAAGCTAAATTCTAAGAATCCAAAGTTAGAGTTCAGGCTTCTGATTTACCCCGACTCAGAAGCTAAACTATAGGCATCCAAAAACTGGTTCATGGTTCAATCCTGGAGTTTAATTATTCAAACAACTATACTTCTAATTTTCCGGTTGCTCTGGTCCTAAAATGAACAAAAGCTATACCTGAATTCCATTATTTCTCACACCCATCACAAATCCCTCGCAAGTCTCCACCTTTCCCTTGAAGTATCGAACTACGTTGAGCTGTACCGATGCTCTTCCAGCATACTGGGCTTGCTTGTGTCTGAAGTTTTCAGCCGTTTTCAGTCATGTAGTAATAAGTTTCCGATTACCTATAATTAATATTTCCACAGACTTTGGTGCATCTTGCTTGACTCAGAAGACCTGATTGGATGTCGTCGGCATTGATGGCAGCCGCAAGAAGACGATGGACGATGACGTCGGCGTAACGACGAATTGGAGACGTGAAGTGGGTGTAGATGGAGCATGCGAGCCCGAAATGTTGGTATTGGGGAACCGGGACCGTTCCTATAATTTTCTGATTTTTCAGCTAGTTCGGATAAGTAAATTCGCCAAATTATTAGATTTTTCCGGTTTATGTTTCAATTCCTTCTTAGCCGTTTTCTGGTATTTCTAAACCCTATTTTCCTGAATTCCAAGGCCGTATCATCTTCCTCATTCTACACACAAATATGTGTTTTTTTTTCGAAAATACTCAATCTACCGTATCGGTCATGCTTGTACGCGCCAGCGCCAAAGCAGCAACACCTTAACGATGTCGTTCTTCCCAGAAGCCGTCGGAACAGAAACCCACGGTAAAATTTGAATATTTATTGTCTTACCAGCTGAGAAATAGACCGCTTGTGTCATGCATCGGGTGGTCAGCATACGGAGGAGACGATTGAGCATCGGGTTCTTTTTGTCGACACATCGGTTAAGAGAGTCGGCGAGTCCTTTGCCGCTTTCCACAATGATTTCAAAGCCTCGGTGACGGGCGGCCTGAAAAATTGATTTTTGGAAAATATCGGAGAATCTTCAAAGCTTCATTAGATATCTGTCTAGCTATTCAAGCAGTTCATTAAACCTGCAAGTATACTCCCTGAATTCAAAGTTTTAAATTTTTGGAACATTTCACAATTTTTAGGTAGAAATTATAGAATCAGGTTTCCCGTTAGCTCTGCATCATGGAAATAACCTTTATTCTGACTGCCAGGACAAATGTCAAACCGCAACATGTATATGTTTACACACTCAATTAAATCATCTCCTCTCCTATAAATTTCCTTCATCCTACACTTCTAACTTGTCCATCAAATTATTACATGAATTGAGGATGAGGATGGATGAGGGAAATGGTGAAATGTCAAAAATGATGAAACTGAACAATGAAGAGTTGGAGGGATTCTGAATGAAGTGAAGAGCTTCTGGAGCTAAATTGAAATTAAATTGAAACCTCTGGATCTTCAAAAGTTGTTCGGATAGGTTTTTTGAGCTTTTTGTGAGCTTTAGAACCGTGTCCAAAAATTTTAAAACTTCACAAGTTCACAATTCACAACTTTTGAGACGCCCAGACACGATTCTATTATATCTTCTGAAGCCACACGTCAAGCTTATGGACCTTCACATCAAGGCATAAATCTCTGACACCTATAACAGTTTTTTTTCCAACTGCGTCAATTTTGAATTCCATTGTCTCCGAGACGGCACTCCAGAAGTAACCTTCACATCGTGGTTGTAAAGCATTTCCCGACAATGTCAACAACCTGTGAATCCGAGCATCACTCTTCCTTCCGATTATGACTATTCGATACCAACAAGGTAGGCGTTCAACCGTATTACCTCCTAATCTGGGAACAGAAGAAGGAACGGCGGAAGTGCGTGTGTACATGCGTATTGAATGTGGATGAGGGGTAGCCGTAATCCTATGATATTTATTATGGACGGAAAGGAAACTGGGATACAGTTTGAGAGTAGCTTTAAAATACATCCCGTCAGATTTTAGAAGGATTTCCGAGAAGTTGAGGGATTTGGGGAGGCTGATGAATCTTCGGAGTTCAAGCTTAGTTGGAGTTTGCAGTCGGTGAATTACAGTTATTTAGAAGGTGCTAAGAATATGATGATAAAGTATTCGAATTTCCTTAAAAAATATTTTAGCAATCCTTCAAAAAGCGTCTTTTCACTGCTTTTAAGACTTTCGGGTCATGGTGTCAAGAATTTTGGACTTTATTCAAGTTTTCAGATTCCAGATTCCACAGACCGCTACTTCAAACAAAAACCTTAACATTGTTTACATGTTTACCACAAAACCCTAAAACATTTGGAGGTCATCAAGATTACTGTAGTAGCCGCTGTGATGAGCAATTATAGGGTATGTGTCCCTTTTCTGAGGTAATTAGCTAGTAGTGTGTCCACGGGGCTGTCAATAACGAAATATGCGGATGGCAACATTATGATGAATTGGGGACTTTGGGTAATTCAGAAGCCATCGATAACCCATTTTTGGAAGCTCGCCTGACCTAGATTGCAACACCTTCTCCTTTTTTCTGACCGGAAACAGAATCAGTTTTCATCGCTATGTAAACATTTCCGTGTCCTCCATTGGCGGCAGAGAAATAAAAAGAACATCGAGTCAAAAAAAGCGAGAATTAATGGGTTTTGAGATTCGTTTTTTCTGCTATGAGAATGAAGGACATATTTCCGCTCTCAGATGTTGCAAAAGAAGGAATGGGAATCTATTCCCGACTACAGTACTTGTCCATGCTCCGGTGAGCTTCGAATTAAAAGAGAGAGAGAGTAGAGGAGGAAAGTGCTAGATGAGTAATTGAATGAAGTCGTAGGAAATGGAAGAAGCCGACAAAACTGTGTGGAGTGGTTTAGAAAGCAAAATAATGGATGCGGAAGTGATGATATGGGTGTCTTGGTGTGAGGGATTCGTTCTTTCAAAAACACTGCTACTGTTTTGGTGTAAGGGATTATAAGTTTTTTTGCCATCCTGGAAAACAAAATCACATGTTTCTATTATTAACCCCTCCGTAAAGGCGGTTATTACGGTTTTACGGTATATATGTTCATCCGGATAGCTTTTTTACCTCAATCAGCGGCTTGTAACTCTCTTTCAATGGAACTGGATGCCGTCTAAGCAATGCACAATCTGGATACTCTTCCAGAATCTTCTTGGCGACCTGGATATTTGCCAGTAACATAAACTCTTCCACCATCGAGTGAGTATCCAAATGTTGTTTTTCCATTACTTTCTGAAACACAATTTTCAAAAGAGTATGATTTGTCGAGTTACCTTTGGAGTCCGAGATTCCCAGTCCATATCAAACCTTACTTCACTTGAAGCAAGTGTCAGTGCTCCATTGGACGTTCTCTTTGAATTCAGTACTTTCGACAGTTTCATCAATTCACGAAGTCCCTGCGCCACGTCACCCTGTTCCTTTGGATCATCAATGATTTCCTGAGCTCTCTCATAAGTCAGTGCAGCCTTGGACTTGATCAGTGACTTGTGATACTTGACAGATTGGATATCAGCATTTGAGGTCATTGTCCAGATTACTGAGAATGCGTAGCGTTCCTCTCCACCACGAAGTGAGCACAGGTTACTACTGAGTAGACACGGAAGCATATCAATACGACGATCACAAAGGTATACAGTGGTTCCGCGTAACGCTGCTTCATCATCAATCGCTGTATTCGGACGAACGAAATGAGTGACATCAGCAATATGAACTCCCACTTCAAACAAATCGTCTCCAATCTGCTTGCAATGTAGGGCGTCATCGATATCCGTGCAGCCCTGGGGATCCACTGAACAGATAGTGAGATGTCGAAGATCAACACGTGGCAGTGTTCCACGATTGTCATTGAGATCTGGTTCCCATTCCTCTTTGGGTAAGCAATCAATGACTTGGTCTGAGAATGGGGCGTGTGGGATATCGTGTTCTAAAAGGAGCACCTCATTTTCGGTTTCACGAGATCCCATCTCTCCAATTGATCGAACATAGTGACCCAATGGATATTTAGAGTCCCTCGGCCAATGATCAATAGCTACCACAATCCTCTGTTGAGAAAGAATTTCAGCTTGTTCGGTTTCAATTCTAATTCTTGGAATGAGCCGTTCCGCTGGACAGAATAGGTGTCGACGGGCTCCTTTCACAGAACTAGGCAACAACATTCCACAGTATTGGCGCCAATTTCTTTTAATAATTCCCACAACTTTTGCCGTTGGTACGGAGTTTTTTTTGGCCTTTTTCGCTTTTGGCTCGTCCTCGTCGTCTTCTTCAACTTTTCCCATATCGTCAGCATTATTCACGTACTCTTCAACGTCACGAAGACGGATTTTTTTTTCTGGGCACGTCCATTGATCTTCAGGAAGGAGTTGCACGGCAACAACGTCTCCATTGACAGAACGATTACAGTGATTTCCTGAAAATCATTTTTTTTTCAGTAAACGAACTAAATTTCACTATATACTCAGCAGTAAACTTCCGACCGTCTTCTCCTTTTAGATAAAATGAAAATTTCATAAAAATATTTGAACATTTTCTAAGCAAATCTCACCAGTGATAAACCACGAATTCAACTGATCATCGATAATGACAGAAGCTTCTCGATAATTCTCTCTGGAAACCGAGAATGTTCCCCGTTTAATCGTTCCATTCGCAATTCCGTCCATAATCTTATCATGAGATAGATGCTCCTCAAAAATTTGTCTCTCATTATTATTTGCCGAGCTTTCATAAGCTGCCATCTGATCCAAAAGTGCCTGTTTTCCAGAATCCTCCAAGTTCTGAATGTATTCCTTGAGATACAACACGTGTTGGTAGTGTTTCTCGAGACGTTTCTTCGATTCTTCATCAAAAACCATCAACACTGGAGTCACATTCTGTTTCTCCCAGTGGCTGGTGAGATAGTTCGCAGTACACAGCAATAGTTCTTCTCCTCGACTAACGTCTTCATATTTTGTGATATCCGAAAATGTTTCACAATGGAATTCGTTCATGAAGACGTGGAAACGATCCTTGGCGTCTTCGTAGCACAATGAATTCATCTTTTTGTAGGCTGGAACTGCTTTGGCTTTTACACCTTCCCAAACCGTTTGAGTCACAATGATGTTTCTGGAATACATAGATAAATACTCAGTTTTTAAATTTTCCAACCTCAAAAGCTCAGAATCAAACAAATCATGGAACCGAATCAACGATGTTGAGTCCACGATCAGAACATGTCTTCCAACTTTCGAATTTTTTACTGGGTTCTCGGTTTTCAGCAACGAATTTGTTCCGAAATCTTTACAATCTTCACATTGAGCTAATCCACATGGCAAATCGGTTCGGAGATAACGTTCGGCGGCTCTCTTAAATTTAACTAATCTATAACTGTTGTAGAGACCCCGCAAATTCCGGGGAAAGAAAAAATGGGGGAAAAAAAATTTGTGAAAGTGGGCGGAG